AAAAACTCTAAATAAAAAGAAGGAGTATTTGAAACCACAACCCACAACTGCAGATAGAAGTGAAACTCGTTTTCAGATTAAAAGAAGTCAAAAATTTTGATTAACCCTATCCGTACGCTTTGGGGTCATTTTGTACCCCCGGGGTTGTATTTTTCACATTTTAGAATACTTCTAGTACGAATATCTTTTTGAAACTTACAGTATTTCTCAAAAAATCATTTTGACAGACTGCTATGCAATGCGTACAGATGGGATTAACGAGTAGATTTCCTCTTTCGAAAGTGGTGACACAGAGTTCTCCGCGTCGTATGGATACAATAGTAAAACACGACGTACGGATAGGGTTAAGTGGTGACACAGAGTTCTCCGCGTCGTATGGATACAATAGTAAAACACGACGTACGGATAGGGTTAAGTGGTGACACAGAGTTCTCCGCGTCGTATGGATACAATAGTAAAACACGACGTACGGATAGGGTTAAGTGGTGACACAGAGTTCTCCGCGTCGTATGGATACAATAGTAAAACACGACGTACGGATAGGGTTAAGTGGTGGCACAGAGTTCTCCGCGTCGTATGGATACAATAGTAAAACACGACGTACGGATAGGGTTAAGTGGTGACACAGAGTTCTCCGCGTCGCATGGGTACAATAGTAAAACACGACGTACGGATAGGGTTAAGTGGTGGCACAGAGTTCTCCGCGTCGTATGGATACAATAGTAAAACACGACGTACGGATAGGGTTAAGTGGTGGCACAGAGTTCCCCACGTCGTATGGATACAATAGTAAAACACGACGTACGGATAGGGTTAAGTGGTGACACAGAGTTCCCCACGTCGTATGGATACAATAGTAAAACACGACGTACGGATAGGGTTAACTAGTTTCTTGGTTTTGGTTTGACATTGTTCACATCAGTTTGTTTCCCTTTTTATGTATGTAGTGAGTTAGTCGTCAGGTCTGTTCTAGTGACTTGATGCGGGATATCCAGTTTATGTCGGCCTGTAGAAAACTAATGTAGTTAATCAAGCGTATGAGTGGTAAACCTCACAGGTTGTAATCTTTTTAACGTCGGTGTTTTTACCCCCACATTCACAAATGAGATCATTAAGGAGGGAGGAGATCAGATGTATACAACATCCCATCCTAATCCTGAGATACTGGCTAAAAATTTGCCTAACTTGGGAATCAAACTCGAATCTCCGGCGTGCGACAGGAAAGCGCCGAACTGCTAAACCACTAACTCTGGTTCACTTGGTGTGCTGTGTGCTATGATGTCACTGAACATTGCTTGTGTACAGAAAGTGACATGGTTAAATGTTTGAAGCCTCCAGTTGTGTGCTATAGGTTGTCTCTTGCTGGATGTTGTATTTGCCACCTTGAGGGCTAGTGGTTTAGGGTTTGAATCCTTGTGTGTGACCCAGGTTGTACCAAAGTGAATGTGTTATGTGCCCACCGTGAGTGCTAGTGGTTTAGGGTTTGAATCCTTGTGTGTGACCCAGGTTGTACCATACTGGATGTTTTGTTTGTTTGTCACCGTTGGAGCTAGTGGTTTAGGGTTTGAATCCTTATGTGTTACCCAGCTTGCTCAAATACTGAATGTGTTGTTTGCCACCTTGGGAGCTAGTGGTTTTGGGTTTGAATCCTCATTGTTTATGACCCAGCTTGTTCCATACTGAGTGTTGTGTTTGCCTAAAGATAGCCACTACTACTGGTTCAGTGTTCCCAGCCTGGCTTGGTGTGCTGTTGGCTTTGTTGGTTTTAGATGTTGAATGTGCCTTCAGGCAGCCAATGTGGGTAGTTGGCGGGTGCTCTGGTGTAGTTTGCTTCTTCTTTCCTGTCGAACATCTATCGTCCTTATCTCCCCTTCTCTTTTTTATGTTTGTTGCTCTCTTGTAACACCTCTAATCTTCTGGCGCTCATATGGCCTTATGTAGTTGCGAGCACCGTAAAACCTCTACTAAATCTTTAAAGAGGCAGCCAATGTTTTAGAGGAGTGTATATGTCTCTGAGTTTTACATCGGCCGTGCTGTCACTGACACTGGATATTGTGTTAGTTTTATGGTAATTTTATGGGG